ATCCCCCGGTCTGCCGACTACTGGGCCTGGACAGCGGCCCACACACGTTTAGTGGATTCATATTATTGTACATTATTATTATTATTAAGATGTTCTAGATTAGCTTTTTATACTATCAATCCATTTATGTAACCGGGTCTGTCAGGCCCATATTAGAGGCCCAGACCCGGATTTTCCCTATATATACTCCTTATGGGAGGCTTGTAAACCATAACAAATATTATTTCATCCTACGCATTTTCTTCTTCTTCTTCTCCATTACTCTTTTTGATTCTTGTTCAATTTCTCCTGTTTATACAATATGAGTATCAATTATCCAACATGGGGCTTAAGGTGGATAAATATAGCTGAATTGAAACGTTTCAACACAAAGCGTTTATTTCTAGCCGTTCTTATTTAGCGCCTTCATTCCCATTTTATCCTCGTCGACAGACCTCTGCTAGCGCTTCAATTCATTTCTTCTAATCCCATCTACTTCAGTTTCTTCCCTTTTTTCTCTTCTATCTTAACAACCTGTTTTCTCACGTATGCTTATTTTGCCTCCTTTGGTATCCGATTTGTTCCTTGAGCTTAAGGACTGGAGATAAACTCTACATATATACGAGTACTCTACATACATTACACGGAAAAAATAACAATAATTTTGTGTACTCTAAATCATTAAAGATGTTGAAAAGTTACGTTTGTCGTTGTGGAGAGCAAGTGGTGAAAGTGTGTGGTGGATACATGTGTGCTAAATGCTGAAAAAGAAGTGAAAGTTTAGAAGATAGATTGGAGGATAATTGAATTCATCGCTTGATTACTGTTATAATTATAATCATTAATATTATTATCACTATTATAAAAATTACGGAGTATGATATGTAGTAGTAAACATAAAAAATAATGTAAATAATATATATATCTTACGTATATATCACCACAAATTATACGGAGTATGACCTTTAATGTAATATTGTAATTTCATGTTATTCAAGCATTTTTCAGCTCTTGTTGCCAAACGAGTTTACTTCATTCAGTTAGCAATTCAGATTCAGCACTTTGCAGTTCAGATCCAGACAAATAGTATCTGGTTCAGACAATAGCCCCTAATTCAGACATTAGTCCTCAGCTCCAATTCGTTATGCCAAACATAGCCTAAGGCTATATTCGGCATGGTAGTTCAGCTAATAAAGGGCTGAAATCTTTTCATTTCAATCAATTATGATTAAATTCATACTGTCCTCCAATTTTTTCATCGATGGCTGAAAGCTATTGCAAGACACCCTACTACGTATATAATGTAATTCAATCATCACGTCATCACCATACTTGACTTTAACTCAATAATTGATAAATAATTTTTCTTATAAAGTTGTTCCATTGTTTTAAAAGTGGCTCTAAAAAGTCTCATAATTCTTTTTGCATATACGCTTTGCTAAAGGCAGAATCACATTAAAATTTGTAGGACAAAATAGTTCATCCAATATATTACTACATACTATTTATTTGATATTTAATAAAATAAAAAATTATATACACACACATATATATATATATATTATTTTATTTAACCAAATGTCCTTTAATGTAATTTCATACGGAGTATTATCTAGACAATTTTTCAGCTCTTTTTGCCAAACAGATCTACTTCATTCGGCTAGCAGTTCAGACTCGGCACTTCAAAGTTCAGCTCCAGACAATAATTATAGTTCAGACAATAGCCTCTAATTCAGACATTAGCCTCCAGTTTCAGCTTGTTGTGCCAAACATAGCCTAAACATGTTTCAATGATTGTAGTCCATCTGAATTTGACATACATTTACTAGAATGAAAAAATATTTTTAAATAATACCAACTATCTTCTATGAACCAAGAATCATACACACTTTAGAAATAACTTTTAATAATACTAACTATTTGAATATATTTAAAAAGTGATATAAAACATTTTTTCACAAAAAATAGCCATTTAACTAATAAATAACTAGTATCAAAATATCAAATAAGTGACCTTATTTACAAATATCATTTATTTGATGGTTTAATATTAGTTTTTGATGTCTAGAATGACCAAATTTCTTGTAAAAAGGCAACTCCATATTAATTTTGTTCTACAATTAGATAGTTGATATTATTAAAGGTTATTTCTAAAGTACGTATTATTCTTGGTTCATGTAAGATAGTTGATATTGTTTAAATTAAAGTTATTTTCGTTTTTGAGAAAAATCAACGTTACTTGCATAATAACTTCTTTAAAATGTTCACGTAAACTTGTTATGGCCATTTAGTGGCTGCAAGTCCAATTTAAACTAAGAGCCCATTTGGTAACACCGAAATCGACTGAATCGGTTGATTATGCTGAAATTCATAAAGTTATGGATGAAATGCTATATTGGTTGATTCTGCTGATTTATGAAAAATTTATATTTAAAATATATTTTATTAATAAAATAACAGAAATTACCCTAAATTGGACTAAAAACGTTTTGAAAATCTAAAATAGGACTATCGTGTTTTTGTATTCCCTGAATAAGAGTAATCTGTCTAGTTTGGAAAAAATTGCCATGTTTAAAAAACTTGGCAGAAATTTATTCATATTCAGGGAATAAAAAACATAACAGAAATTGCACTAGATAGGAGTAAAAACGTTTTGAAATTCCAAAATAGGAGTATCATGTTTTTTATTCCCCAATAGGAGTATTCTGCCAAGTTTGGAAGAAAATGTCATGTTTAAAAGCCTTGTAATGGCAAACTTGGCAGAAATTTACTCCTATTCAGGGAATAAAAAACATGATACTCCTATTTTGGAATTTCAAAACGTTTTTACTCCTATTTAGGGAATTCTCTCAAAACATAATAGTCTTATTTTAGATTTTTAATAAGTTTTTACTCCTATTTAGGAAATTCTCTCATAAAATAAAGAAAAAATTATATGAAAATAGCTAAAATGGTCATCTACAGTAACTTCAGCCCATACAACCAGAAAAGTAACCCCAATTCAGCGCGCGAAATCAAAAGTTACGTGTTTGGTTACAAAGTCGGCTGATAAGCCTAATAAGTCGAAAGCAGAGTCACCAAACGAGCTCTAAATGAAATTAATACACTCACATTTGTTAATGACTTGACACAAGACTATAACCGAATCTTTGTCAAATAAATATGATCTGACTTAAAAAACTTAATAATTTATAACAAGCACAATCATGTGTTCTATTGCGGCTGCATCTTAGGATTTAGACAGAGCGGTTCTGGATTCGCCGTTTCTATCTTTCTCTCTAGGAGTCATTGTTTATCCTGTGTCACGGTATTACGGTCTTTCTCTTGTTTGTCGAGAGCTAGGTTTTTCTCTCGCGTGTTGAGAGTGGTGCAATGCCGCACTTTTGTGGATCCGTTTTTCTTTTGCATTTTGATCGAGAGCAGGTTCAAAATAGGATAAGCATGACTTCTTTGGATGATCAATAACAGTTTTGTCCCATTCCAGTAGTTGAGGAGGAGGTCGAAGAGTTTGTTTTTGGAGAATCAACATGGGTGGAGGGTAGTGACAGTAGTGGAGGTGACACGGGCGAGCAGACGGCGAGCGGTGAAGGGTTGAGCAAGGGAGAAGACAAATCGAGGTGTCAGTGTTTGGAAGATGATGTTTCAAGAAAATTGGCATAAAAAGTTCAGAGTATTTATCAGTTTTTGTTCACTATTCAACTGGTTAACTTAAGTTGGTCTTAATCGTTTACTGCATAAAAAATGTATCCAACTTTACATATTTTTAATAAATATACGGAAGAATACAACTTATCTACTAAATATAGTTTTTTTACTATCGAAGATAAGTTAACTTTATGATCTCAAACATTTTTTTCAGCTCTACTATTTGTACCCACCTCATACCCATCAATGCGAGAGATCTTTTTTTATCTGTGAATTCTGTTCATGGAAAAAACATGTCTTGTTTTGTCTATGCAAATTTTGCACAAATAAACAAGAAATGTTTTGTCTGTGCGCTTGATTCACAGAAAAAAACCTCACACATGTATAAAAGTGATGAGTGTAAAGGTGAGTACAAATATTTTTGATAGAAAAAATAGTTGTACGCATATAAAAATATATTCGTACCTAGCCTTATACCCACCAACATTGGAGGCCTTTTTGTCTGTAAATCGCATGCGCAGACAAAACGTGACTTGTTTTATCTGTGCAAATTTACATAGACAAAACAATACATGTTTTGTCTGTGAACGAGATTTAGAGATAAAAAAGCCACTGGTACAAAAAAAATGTAATAGAAAAAAATTATGGGTACAAATACTTCCTTTGTACTTAAAAGTTCGCTACACCTTTCTATTTGAGATTTATTTAAAAGTTTACTACACTTTCCCCTTTTATTACATTTTTTCTTTAAAAATACTCAATTACACGTGCTTTTTCTATTTTTTTTACTCCAGGGGGCGTTTGGGGGTTGGGGAAGTCTGGAGTAATCTAGACTGAAACTCAGCCAATTGAATTTCGACCTCGAGACCTCCCGTAAGAGAGAGTGAGTCGACGACCAGCTGGGCTGAACCGCTTCCTCACACGTGCCTTTTCCATTTTATCTTTTCCTTCCTACTTTTCCACGTTCTCTTCTATTTTTTATACACTATTCATTACTCCTACTATTTTCTCCTTAAATATTGTGTCAAAACAGTGATTTTTTAAATAAGGAAAGAGCATTTATTTTTTATTTTTGATGACAACATGATTTTTTAGGGGTAATTTGAGTTTGCACCCTATTTTATTGTCCAAATTAGACTTTGCACCCCATTTTTAAAAAACTTTGTATTTGCACTCCAACCCCATATGAAAAGAAAAAAATGCCCATCCATTAACTATTCCATTGGCCTTCAACATATTCATAATTGAGGAACATTTTTGTCTTTTCATATGGAATTGAGATGCAAATACAAAACTTTTAGATAAGAAGTGCAAAGTTTAATTTAAACAATGCGCTATAAACTCAACAAAAAATGAAGCCACTCAAACCATGAAGACAGGCCTGCAGTCGGACAAATCGGTAGCTCGGTACATTAATAATTTCCATCCCGTTCGGAGTTTAGGATATTTTCTCCACACGGTATACATAATATACGTATACGCTTGTTCCTTCACAGTCCACATCGACCTCTTTTTTAATTTCTTCCTTTTCTTTTGGTTTCTTGCAATCAATTCTTTTCCAGTGAAACTCTATCCCAATTTGCCTGCTTATAAATGTCTTCTGGCTTGTAAAGGCTGGATTTTTTGGATTGCAACAAATTAGGGTTTTCTCTATTTAAAATCGTACCCCATTCGAATATTTAGTTTTATGGAGAATACTAAATGACGAGATAATGAATCCAGGAGGCAGTGCTATTAACTCCACAGCTGCGTTTGAGCCTATCCCACAGGAGGTAAATTTTCAAAAGTTCCACTTCCAGATGCTTTGTGTATAATAATAGGTATTTGCGATCTTATTACGTTAGCTGAGCTACAAATTGAGCTAATGGAATCCATAGCGTTTAATTAGAGAAGAGTTCGCATTCATTTGAACGGAAGTTATGTTTTAGGGACTTTAAGCTAAAAAGAGATGGGTGATGCTGGCTGGGGGTTAGATTTCTAACATTTATAGTTAACTGAACGCATAACAGCTTACTGTGTGCAGTCCACTTTCTTTTGTTTTAGCCATTTAATCTCGGGCTCAAATTTCAAAGGGTATGGTGCAATACTACATTATTACTGATATGTAAATATCCAGGAGCAAGTGAATGTTAGTGGGTCATTGTTCAGGAAAGATTAATTTTAGTACGGAGTAGAAAACAGCCAAATAAATTTCCCTTTACATATTTAGAATATCTTTCATTGTCTAGTAAATGGAATGTCAGTTGTTTCATGCATGTTGTATTTTTGTAGTCGTGTAGATGCAGTGTTGCATTTTATTACGGAGTATTAATTTACACATGTTTTGGATATAGTCTTGCATGATATATGCTATCTTCCTGAGTTCATACTGTCATGTTGACGGGACATAGCACATTCCAGTTTGAACGGTAAATGCATTGGATCTTCCTTCCCATCTCAAATATAGTTCTAAATGATTACCATTTTACCAATGAATTTGTAGTCTTCTGGTTGGTACGGAAGTGCAACCACTTTAGATTCAGTTTGTTACTTGGTTTTAAAGCTTTGCTTCTATTTTCTACATTCTTGTGCCCACATCCTGAACACCTTGATGCATATCTTTGGTTTCTTCCAGTGCACTGTTTTTTATGAAATTACTGATATACGTCCTAATTATTTATTCATTTTGGTCAGAAACACCAGGCGGTTGATGCAAATCAACATTATACACCTTATTATGTCCCTCCTGGCAGTGCATCAACATCATGGACTTCAGATAGGGGTGCTAACTACAACACACATAATGGAGTTATTTCAAGTGCCAGCTATGATCACAATCAACAAGCTGAGGTGACTTCTGGAAATGTTCAAGATGGCCTTAGTGTGACATCTTCTAGTATTACTTCAAGTTCAGCAGTGACAAATGTAACTCAGGATTACAATAATTATCCCACGTATACTACCACTGATCCATATAGCTACAACACTGCAGGATATTCCGGCTACTACAATGGCTATCAACAGCAAGCTAATCAACAATATTCCCAACCAACGATAGCTTATCAAAACACAGGTGTTTCTTACCAGCCTCCCTCATATCAGAATACAGGATCTTATGCTGCTGCTGGTCCAACTTTTTCAAGCACATATTACAACCATGCTGATTATCAGACATCTGGAGGTTATCCCAACAGCGGAGGCTACCCGAATGCCGTCTATAATAATCAGTATGGACAGTATACTCAATATCCTTCTCACCAGTATCCCAATTCAAACTCTTCTCAACTATACCATAGTGCAGATTCAGCTGCTGGATACTGTTCTACAACTGCTGCTTCTAGCTCAGAATCTCAACCACAGTATCAGCAGTGGGGAGGCTACTACAACCAAGCTCATACAGAAGTCAGTTGTGCTCCTGGAACAGAAACCCTTTCTGTTTCTAATACATCTAGTTTGACTTGTCCTGTTCCTAGTATTAGTGGTGGATATCCAGCTTCAAGTTGCCCACCACCAGCACCTTATGCTCCACCTTGGAAGCCAAGCTACAATACTTCTGATTTGTCCGCGGTGCAGGTTTGGTGTTCTTTTACTTTGCAGCTTACTAGAAAATTTTAACAAAGTGACCACAAATTGTCTTGCCTAGGTGCATTTATGATTTTTGTGCTTTTATTTTTGAAAAATATAAATCCTTGTATTCTTTACTGCTAATAGGAAATTGGATATTAAGTTAGGTTATGATTTTTGAGGTCTGTGTGCTGTATTCAATATCTGAAGTGTGCGCATTTATCAAGACATTTCATCTCATTTTCATTTTCATTTACCCCAATGCCGCAAAGGCTCCCACCTACGGTGGGGTAAGGGGCGGTCGGATGTACGCGGTCTTACCCCTGTACTAAAGCACAAAGAGACTGTTTGCATGGTGAAAATCGCGTCCAAAATTGCATGGACTGATTGCTGCTTCATAACAAAGAAGTGCAGACAGTTTAGTGAGCCATTTTGCTTTATTCCATCATATTCTCAAGCCAAAAAATAATGAATCTTTGGCTCCTTTGCAAATGATGGAAAAAATTTATCCAGACATGCGTACAAAAAATTTATTTTTTCTAAAAGATTCTCCATAGACACTCCAATTCACAATTACTATCAATAATTAACTAAGTATTTGAGCCTTTGAGGCTTGTCATGGTTTAGTAAATTGCAAAGCATGGATGTGTGTGTTGTCTGGGTATGGGGTACAATTTTTTGTTACGAAGGGTACAATGATATACACAACAACATCCAAGCCTTGGTACTAAAAGAGTTTGGGGTCGGCTAACATGAATCAACATATGACATCAGAGCTAAAAAGATATAGATAAGATAAGATAAAAAGATAAAAACATAGGATAATGATAAGATAAAGATAAATACTACCTCCGTTCTTTTTTAGTTGCAACATTGGGGATTTTTTCACCATTCACATGCTCTACTTTGACTTGAAATTATTTATTAATGTATTATAAATTAATTTTTCTAAAAACATTGTTAATATCCCCTCATTTAAATTTTCAAAATCTGATTTTTTTAATTTCTTTACTTATAAGAAGTGAGAGATAGTAATGTTCAAACTTGTTCGTTGCCAAACGTGAAAAGTGGACCGTTTCTACTAAAAGAGAAAGGAGGAAGTAGATTAGATAAAAAAGAAAAAGATAAAGAAGATAAGAAAGATATAAGGAAAAAGATAAAATGAGATCAACCCTCCACACATATATTCTACCTCCACTTCGCTTTTGCCAAAGTCATACTCTCATGCAATGATATATTCATAAAAACATTAAAAAGCACAATTTCATAGGATGAAAACTGAAATGTCAGGTGAGATTAGAAATCAAAATAAATTCAAAATAGAGCAAGTCTAAAATTTTCAAGCCACATAAATAAACAAGCAAGACCTACTCACCTACTGACAGATTTTAAGACAAAAGCTTCGTGAGAGGGATATGGGGAAAATAAGAAAGTTTAATGGAATAATAATAAAAGTGGTACCTTGGAATAATCCAGAGCAGTGTCGTATGTGTATACTCTGTATATAGTTTCCAGTGAGCTTGTGGTAGGGTTCAATGGACATTTAAGAGGTGAAAAAAGAGGAAGTAAGTAAAAAACACATCTGAACTTTTAAGCACACACATCTTGCATTGTATCCATGCCCTATCCCCAAATCAACATCAAACAGTTAATTCTTGGATATTACCCAAGGCATACTCACACATGCGCGCTACCCTGAGAGTACTTATACGACTATATACCCTGTGACCCTAAAGTACCCATACATGTACTTTTTCCATAACCGAGTACCCTAACTTATGCTGGCTATTGTGCCATGTATGGTTTCCAACAACTGCTACTTGGTACACTTGTGTATTCTGTCATACTACCCTCTAAGTAGTTAAATCGCTATTTGGTAGCAACTCGGTCAAGGGCCGAGTAGCGAGTAGGACTGAATACTCGAGATTACTCGGTGATTACTCAGCCGGTCAGCCCTATATTAATTAGTTTCAAAAATATAAATGTCCGAAACTATAGTAATATATTATTCTTATAATTCTTAGAGATGAATAAAATAATAATAATAATAATAATCCTAATGAAGAAGAAACGAGAAAGAAGATAGAGGAAAATAACTTACAGGGACAAAGCCACTCCTTGTATATAAAAATTACTTTATCCTTTTTATTTGATCTTTTATATGTATATTCATCTCTTTTATATTATCTTTTTTTATAATAGCTTATCTTTTTTATCTTTATTTTCGTTCTTTTCCTTTTGGTGATATCATGTATCGATTCATGTTAGCCGACCCCAATATCGTTTGGGACTAAGGCTTGGATGTTGTTGTTGTTGTTGTTGTTGGACAAAGCCACTCCTTGGCTTGTGGTGTCAAATGACACCACTGAAAATTAGTTTTAATGTATACATATACATATATTGATTGAAATAGTTGAAATTGACACCACTAAAATTAAACATTTAATAATGCATATATATGCATATATAGATTGAAATGGTTTAAAATGACACCACAAATTTTTTTATATAAATGAGATCAATGTATAAAATCTATTCTCTACATCTCACGAGTGTTTCCATGTGTGAAAATTTTTAAAAACAAAAAAAAGTGTTATGTTAATTAATTAATTAATTGGAAAGTAAATCAATATAATTAAAAATTCTTCTTACAAGAAAATTAAAAGTTCGTTTTGATATTTTTTCATTGAGGGAAAATGGTTTTATTGTTAGTTCGTATGGATTTTTTAAATCGGAAAATCTATTAATGTTTACTTAATGAATGAGTGTTACAAACGAAATAGAATTTAACACGAAAACTAATTTTTTTATAGCTGTCTCACAAGTAGATATCACTAAGATACATATGTTAATCAACATATTTAATATTTATTTTAGTGTTATATACTACCTCCGTCCCTAATAAAACTTCCAATTACGGGTTACGAAGTTTGACTAGCGATAAAGTTAAATGATCCATGTGAAAACTCGGATTATTTTTAGTAAATAAAATTTACATATTCAGAAACTACATTAAACCCGCTACAAAGCCTGCAAAAAATAATTCAATTTTTATAAATTTTTGATATATAAAGTAAGAGTTTAAGTGTGATTTAAGTTGACTCTCGAAAAGCGAAATGGAAGTTTATTTAGGGACGGAGGGAGTATATGGATATTCCTAAAATATTTAGAAAAGATAAATTATGACCAAGAAAAATTTGACAATACTCGCTATGATTATACCGGCATGATAATGAGAGTGAAAAATTAAACATAGTATGTCATGCTTATTACAATTATTACTTTACTCACTATGTATTAAAAACATCAATTTTAAAAGGATTATTGGCTAAAAATATCTCCCACTATCACCAATTTCATAAATTTATCGCATACTTTCACTTTTATTTAAAAAAGACCCAAACTTCAACTTTTCTCATAATTACGCTTTTAATAGATGAATTAGTAACACTTAAGAACAAAAACATATTTATATTTCATATTTTTCACTTCTTTCTAGTCTTAAGTTTACAAATTTGTATTGTTTATATCTTGTTGCATTGATTAAAATGTGTAATTTTGAAAAAAGAAAGAAAGAAAAAGAAAAACGTGATTGTTGAAAAAGATGAAGTTTGAGTCTTTTTTTTATAAATTTGAAAGAATAAGATAGATTTGTGAATTTGATAATAGTTTGAAATAAAATAAGCAAATAATCCTTTTTTAAAATATCATCTATCATCTTTTTAGTCATATAAAATTATTTTTATATGCAATTTTAAAAATGTGTGTATTGCCATATTTTGGAAATATAAGGCAATATCATTGACCCAATTTTTAGGCAATATCATTGACATAATTGACAGTATTCTCTAAACACAATAATAATAGGTGGAAATATAGTACTACTAAATTTGAATTCACATTAATTTTACTTGTGTTTAAAACAATTTTTGTTGTAATATTATTTTGACACCACACAGACTACATCCTGGCTCCGTCTCTGATAACTTACCAAGAGATGAGGAACCACGGATGGAATGAGCCGATGTCTTACATACTTTTAAATCTAGACATTTTAAGGTTAATTTTCATTTTGTTAAATACCCACTCATTATTTATGAATTCCATAATATCCGTATCCTTCTTTAATAAAAAGTTTTCAGATTTGACAAAAAATAAATATTTTATGACAGACTGAGTAACTCCCCGAGTAAAAAATTTCCCCGGGTCAAAAAACTCGCCAAGTAACTCGGAAAAACAGGGTGGGCCAAGTCAGGTTGCTAAACGGAACAGCCACCTCCTGAGTTGTGAGTACTCACCGAGTAGATAACAGAGAATACCCTTACTCTTTCAACAGTTTATGCATATACCGTAATACTATATAGTGTTTAACTTTTTTTAATATAATTTTATCTCATGATTTTAGAAAATTTAGATTCTAGGTACTCAGGATGGGGAGCCTTGGCTCACGGTTAAGGTGTTTCTGTGTCACAAAGAGGTCACAGTTTCAAGTCTTGGGAGCAGCCTCTTGTCAAATTTGACAGGGGGAGGCTTGCCCCCTATACACCCTTGTGGTGGGACCCTTCCCCGGACCCTCGCCTTGCAGGGATGCCTTCGTGCATCAGGCTGCCCTAAGATTCTATTTACTCACTTGAACTTCAAGGTCTTTTTTGAATTGGTTTGTAATTGAGGAAAGTTTTATTTATTTTAGGATACTAGATCAGATTAGTTTTTACGTCATATGATATGTAATTATGTAGTAATATCTAAGCCCCTATCTGAGTCTTCATGGTTTGTACGTATAATAATAAGTTTAAAAGTGACAGTTATTATGTTTTATGGAATCCTTTTTTTCAGGTCTGTTTTCGAATAATTTTTAGATTCTTCTTTATATATTCTATTGGAATTTTAAACTCGGTTTCCTTGGCATTTTGGTCAGCCTTCTACCACAACTGATAGTGCTCATGATAGTTACTGGAAACATTGGGCTCCAGCATTCCAAAATGAACACTCAAATTCAATGCAAGCTCATGTTCCAACTCTGCCAGTTTCAGCTCCAACGTATGAAAGCTTTCAAAATAAACAGGCTTTTACAAGTGCTCAAGGACCAAGTGCTCAGTATCACACTTCTAATCAGATTGCCCCTAGTAATCCTAATCAGCAGTCAACCTTGCAAACTTTTCAGCAAACTGTTCCACAGATGATTCCACCCGAGGATGTACACAGGGTAAGCAAACTGCAGATTCCAACAAATCCTAGAATAGCTTCAAATTTGGCCTTCAGTTTACCAAAAACCGATAAGGATAGCTCTACAACTACTGCAGCTACAAAACCAGCATATGTCAGTGTTTCTTTGCCTAAACAGAATGAAAAAGCTTCATCCCAAGCTACTGATTCCGTTCTCAAGGTAATGATAATTTTCTGTGTTGTTTTTTGGGCAAGCTATGAGCTATGAATAATGAATCAATCTGTGGAATCATCTTGTTAATATTTTTGTCTTGATGTTTATAATTGCATATGATCTTCTTGCTAAATATTTTAAAATCTACACAGGGTTGACCTCAAGTATATGTTTAGTTTTTTTAAGAATTTTTAATTTCATAGTTACATATTGATTCGGTTCCATCATTTTCAATGGAGCCAAAGATTCACTATTTTTTGGCTTGGGAATATGATGGAATAAAGCAAAATGGCTCACCAAACTGTATGCGCTTCTTTGTTATGAAGTAACAGTCAGTCTATGCAATTTCCGACGCGTTTTTCACTATGGGTCATTCAGAAACAGTCTCTCTGTGCTTTAGTACAGGGGTAAGACCGCGTACATCCGACCCCCTTACCCCACCGTAGATGGGAGCCTTTGCGGCACGGGGGTAATGATGATGATGATGATATTTACATATTGATTCGAGGTATGCCGACTAGACCAATGGTAAATTTTATAGACAACAATTAAGCCTGCATTAATGTATGGCGTAGAGTGTGGGACGGTGAAACAATGTCACATTCAAAAGATGAGTGTGGCAGAGATGCGCATGTTGTGTTGGATGTGTGGCACCTATAGAAGCTAATATGCAGGAGTCTTGATTGCGGTGGTTTGGTCATGTGCGTAGAAGACCGAGTGATGCATCTGTTAGACGAGTTGAGCGGTGGGAAGAAGAGGCAGGGAGACGAGTTGAGCGGTGGGAAGAAGAGGCAGGGAGGAGAGGGGAGAGGAAGACCCAAACAAACTTGGATTAGAGGAATCCAAACTGATATGCTTCTTCTTGGGTTGGATGAAAGTATGACTTTGGAGGGAGCAAAGTGGAGGACACATATTCGTGTGGATGATTGATCTCTTTTCTCTCTTCTCTCTCTTTTCCTTTTATCTTTTATCTTCTTTATCTTTCTATTTTTTATGTTATTTTTATCTTTTATCTTATGTTTTTTGAACTTTTTATCTTTTATCTTTCTTATGTTCTTAGGTTATTTTTATCTTATACTACTTCCATCTCATTTTATGTGTCCTACTTTGGTTTGGCACAATTATTAATAAAGTGGTTAAAAAAAGTAAAAGTTGTGATTGCGATTTGAGTATAATAAAGTGAAATGATGTAGACCACATATTTCTTTCCAAAGAGGAATTGTGACAATTATTTTTGGACAACCCAAAAAAGAAAGTAAGACAAATAAAACAGGACAAAGAGAGTATTTATCTTTATCTTATCCATTTTATCTTACCTTATCTTTTTATTTTTCTTATCTTTCTTCTCTTTTGGCTATGATATCATAAATCGATTCATGTTAGCCGATCCCAAAATCTTTTGGGAATAAGGCTTGGTTGTTGTATAGTTACATACTTACATATTATTGGTCTGAGGAAAAGTATCTGAAGTTCTGAACAGAGCATGACTTAACTACTCAACTGCATGCTTGAAAAAAAAAAACTTCATAATTCAAGTATGAGCTTCTAGAAGCAAATTCTTTCCTCTGTGATGTTTCTTTTATTTCGACATGAATACACCATGTCCTTGTATTCTACATTTTCATCATGTTCTGAGCTACTCAGCTACCTGAACTAAAAAAGGGATCTCTTCTCCTGGCCTTTGAAAAGTGGGTCCACTCCCTCCTCTTGTGTGCCAAACAAAAGAAAGAAAAGAACATTATACTATGTAAAACTGAAGCATCCAGTCAGTAATCTTTGATTCCATGTACCCAAAAGTTGGACATTAATGCTTTTTAGTGATTTTACCTATTCAGATTATCATTGAAGGAGCTGCATTAATATTTATGTTGGGGGTGAATTAGATAATGGGTGGATCATGCTAACTTAAATATTCTTATTTGCAGCCTACTGTGTTTCCAAAGTCATTGCGTGGGTATGTGGAAAGGGCTTTAGCGCGTTGCAAAGATGATGCACAAATGGCAGCTTGCCAAGATATTATGAAAGAGGTATGCACTCCCTGGCTTGATGTGACTGTGCTCACTGTGGAATAAGGAATATTCCTGACCTAGGCGCTTAAGATGCAGTAACTCTTCACATATACATCATTGACAACAATGTCTTCTTAAATTTTTATTAGTTTGTTTCAATCTTTTTTTTGTGATTAAGATGTTACCACTCGATGTTGATCTCGATGAAAACATTGTATGCAACTGCATTGGTCTGAAAGGTCTTTTTCATATAGAACAACTTCGAAGCCTACATCATGATTGCGTCTTTTGCTAATAATATTATGATTTTGTACCTTTCAGATCATCACTAAAGCTACTGCTGACGGTACACTTTACACAACAGATTGGGATACAGAGCCTCTTTTTGCATTGCCTCTTATAGATGGAGTGACTAAGGAGTATGCCACTCTTCACAATTACTATTGCATGTTTATAGATGAAAAGACCATCACATTTTGTGAAGCTGTCACATGCTTAACTGTGCCCTTTGCCCAGCTTATGAAACAGGGCACCTTGATGATTATGCTACATTTCCATTCCCAGATAACAGTTACATCTTAATTAATCTACTACTGTCGATTTGATGACATTTGCAAGAAGCAACCAAAAGCTACGTTAAAGAGCAAGGATATATCCTGTGGCTAAACGCTTACTTTACCACTTGTCTTTAGTTAATCTAAGTGGAAATATGCACAACAGATTTTTATTTTGCAATTTTTTACCAGTCATACTAATTTTCACATTTGGGTGCCTTTATTGTATTTCATTATCTTTTTCAAAAATCATTCCTTTTTAAAAAGCTTCTAGTTCTTGTCATCTTCCAAAACTATCCTTTTTTCCCATTCGCCGGGGCTCTTCACGGAAACAGTCTCTCTACTCCTAGAGATAGGGTTAGGGTCTATGTACATCTCACCCTCACGGGGTATGGTTGCTTTGTTTTTTACATGATAAAACAGGATGAGATGAGATGTTCAGTTGCAACCAAACCCCGAATGACCTTAGTGTAAGCCTTATATGTAAGTATGTAACAATGAATAATTGAATACTATAGAATATAGAAATATACTTTTTTCTCTTTTATAATTTATTGCAGCACCCAAAGCTATATGTACTTCCCAAGTTGGTAACACTAACACTATTTACACCAACCAGATTTGCAGATTACAATTACAAGTAACGACCTTATTTATGCAGGGATATATTCTGTTCAATTCCAACTTCATCATCTTCAAAAAGTAAAAGAAGTCCCAATAGGCGACCCAAAAGTCGGTGGGAACCTGTACCAGAAGAGAAACCAGATGACAAACAGGCACCTCTTACTAATCAGACTGTAAAATATGGAAATTGGAATAAACAGGTCTCATCTTTGTGCTACTCATTTGCATCTTGCAAGTTGTTGTGATTCTTGCGATCTCAATTATGAAACTGTAGTATTAGTTTCATCCCAGGAGTTCTTCTGTTTCACCTGTTGCTTTTACTTGAAACATTAATTAAAACATGTGGGTTGGGGATCTGGTCACCTGCTTTATTTGTAAAGTGCTTTCTAAGATCTCTTCAACAACACTGTCAAGTACAATCCTAGCAAAACCCTCTCTGCCATTGCAACAACAACACTGGCATATGTTGATCCTTATGATAGTAGGATGAACCTCATCATTATCTATTTAAGTTGCCTTGCCTTGCCTAGTAAATCTTCTGGGACTAAGGCTTGGATGTTTATGTTGTTGTAGACATCCAAATCTGTCGAAACTTTTCAAGACAGATTTGGATGCATATATATTTTTTGAATAGATGCTAGTGATGCAACAATCTACTTGCAGGTCTATAATTATGTCTCTTGGCATCTGATAAGAAAAGAGCTACATATTTTATTTAGCACATCCTTGAGTGTGATATTTTAATATACTACATGCCATAACCTGTGCAACTTGAACTAGGACTTGTTATTTTCATTAGAAAGCATTCTACGCTTAGGGGGCTTGTTTGACCTCTCTAGTTGATTCCAGAATTGATTAATTCACCTGTTTTGTGCAGTATGCGAGTGGAAAGTCAGAGAGCAAGGTGAATTCTTCAACTCCTATGAAGTTCTCGTTATCAGAGCAGAAATCACCCAGCTTGTATCCCTTTAGGTCAATAAAGAGGCAGCGTATGGGTAATAGTACAAGTGCAACTGAAAATGGTGAGGAGTCTAGTGATAGTGATAAAGAACAAAATTTAACAGCATATTACTCTGCTGCTATAACACTAGCAGATTCACCAGAGGAAAAGAAGAGGCGAGAAAACCGTTCAAAGCGTTTTGAAAAGACAAATGGTAATCAAGCGGAAACCAACAATTTTAGGATGAAAGCTGCGGGAGCTGGAAATGTTTATTCTAGACTGGCAAGTGCATCAGTACCTGGCAGAGTTTTTGAGGAAAGTGGCAGTGTAGCTGTTGAAGATATTGACTGGGATGCTCTTACTGTTAGAGGGACTTGCCAACAAGTTGAAAAACGTTATTTACGCCTTACTTCTGCACCTGATCATGCCACGGTAAATATCCTTCCTTTGCCAACATTTTGAGATTGTAAAGAATTTGCCGACTGGATGGCATGTGACATTACAAATGATAGGTTGTAGTTCTGAAGCGTGTTTGGTTTTTTGACGACAGTAATGCCCATTGCAGGTAAGGCCTGAAGAAGTGTTGGAGAAAGCACTACTCATGGTTCAAAATTCCCCCAAAAATTACCTATACAGATGTGACCAATTAAAATCTATACGCCAAGATCTTACTGTACAGCGTATTCGTAATGAGCTGACAGTTAGGGTATGTGTTTTAACTTTTGTTATCATCTACTTCATATTCTTCCTGCCCATCATTCATCTATGTTGCCCTCATGCCATTACGTGTAATAGCACTTGCTAGTGCCACATTCTTCTGGAAAACCTGTTTTATCCTTTTATTGTGATCATTATTCTGGCTCATTCCGAGATGAATTGTTTGGCGTGTTATGCATTTCAGGTTTATGAAACACATGCTCGATTAGCCATTGAAGCTGGGGATTTGGCAGAGTATAATCAGGTCTGTCGTAATGCTTTGTTTAGTGATTGTACTCTGACATGATTGTTTGGGTGAGGTTTTGATATTTTTGTTGCCTTTTGTTTTACTGTTTGTTTTTTGCTACAGCTAAACATTATATGAAAAGATTTGAATAGTCAATATAGAAACAACTGTGTTTCACCTGCGTATTCATCTAGATAACTAGATCTGTATCCTTTAAATTCATAATTTTCGGGATATTTGATCTACTCTCTTAACCTTGGCTCATGCAGTGCCAGTCACAACTGAAAACACTTTATGCGGAAGGAATCAATGGATGCCATATGGAGTTGGCAGCATATGATTTACTGTGTGCACTTCTGCATTCCCATAACAAGAGAGATCTCCTATCCGCAATGTCTAGGTCATTGACCTATGATTTTATTATCTTTCTTTTGATCATTTATTTTAATTCACATAGTTTTCAATATCACATCAATGACATCATTAATTCAATGATCGCAAACATTGAGTATGCCTGAATAGATTCCACGATAATCTGGCTACCTGATTTCCATCTTTTCTACCAAATATGGATTTTAACTCATTCGATTGCATTTGGCGGTGTTTGGCTCATGATTTAAATTTTTTGAAAGATGTGCATGAGTCCATTTCTTTTCCATCATTTGAAATGAAGCCAAAGGCTCACTATTTTTTGGCTTGGGAATATGATGGAATAAAGCAAAATGGCTCACTAAACTGTTTGTGCTTCTTTGTTATGAAGCAACAGTCAGTCCATGTAATTTTTGACGCGATTTTCACTATGGGTCATCCGGAGACAGTCTCTTTGTGCTTTAGCACAGGGGTAACCGGGTAAGACTGCGTACATCCGAACTCCCCTTTGCGGCACGGGGGTAATGATAATGAATGAATGTGCATGAGTCCATTTCTTGCTGAATTAGATGAAATGAAATTAAACTGCACTTTTACCCTACTTTTAGTAAATGTTGAATAGTTCAGCCATTTCAACCAACAGTTTCATCAGCAGAGGGTTGTAAACCACGTCAGCCAAATGACTACCCTCACCAATTGAGCTCTAGATCATTTTTTAGGATGAGCTATCAAACTGCGTGCAATTTATGTGGAATTCTGGGGAGAGGGGTGATAGTGTAACAAATGTGCATATATGTATTTGAAATTCCTTGAGGTTTATAAAATTTTATTTGATCCTGTTTAGTGTGCATCTCTACTTGTTCAATTCTGTATGAGAACATGGTTGTTGTTAATTATATTTCAGAGTATCGGTTGAAGCTAGGGAAAATGCAGCCGTTAAACACGCTATTTCAGTTCGTACTGCAGTGACATCTGGGAATTATGTGCTGTTTTTCAAACTATACAGAACGGCTCCCAACCTCAACAGCTGTCTCATGGGTATGGTTTGCAGTGTTTGCTTGTTATGCATGTAGCATTTGTTTGGTATAGTGAATAAATAGACAAGAGAGAAATGAGTGAGAACGAGGGGATAAACTGTATGGAAATAATGTACATATTGCGTGTTGCTTGGTGGGGGGAAACGGAGAAGAAATAAGTAGAAACTGAGAAATTTAAAAAGTGGCGGGACCCACTGTTTCCATCACTCCTCTTCTCTCCATCTCTCTTGTCATCAATCAAAAGTACTTTCTCAGTTTTCTTCTATTTCTCCTCGTCACATTTCTCTCCTTCCTATGTTGCCCCAACCAACCAAAGCTGATATGTTCAGTACATCTTATATGTGTTACAGAGTATCTTTTAACCTGAGAGTATATATAATGGGCCTCTGTCTCTTTCAGATCTGTATGTTGACAAGATGCGATATGCAGCTGTAAGATGTATGTCACGTTCGTATCGTCCCACAGTTCCTATATCCTACATTGCTCAGATTTTAGGGTTCATATCTGTCGGGCCCACAACTGAAGGCAGTGATGAGGATACAGATGGTATGGAGGAATGCGTGGAATGGATGAAGGCACATGGCGCATGTCTTACTTCTGAAAATTCTGGAGAGATTCACTTTGATACAAAAGTATGCTTACTTTCAATCTTTCTGATTTTATAGACGATTGCTCTGGTGCTAGATGCTCTCTATTAGCTGCATATTTAATTGACCTCTTTTAACATAGATTTGAACATGCTAATACACTAATCCGGTCCTTCAGTAACTTTCACTTATTCCTTGTATGGTAGTCTCAAGGTAAATATGCACCCCTTTCGCTTTTTGGCTAAACTAGGTCAATTCATATACTCGATCGGGTCTGCACTATAAGGTACCTTGTAAAACCTTTTAAAAGGGTTCAATAGCCCTTTTTATAAGACATTGTCTTTTTCTGTGACCCCCCCATTGTAGCCCCCTAATAAATAGTTAAATATGGAGTATTGTGTTAAGGTTTATCTTCTAAAGGTTCATTTACATGTCCCATTTTATGTATCCTATTTCATTTTACAACATTTAACGGATGATAAAATTAACTTCTCTGATAATATATAAATTAGTGTTAATAATCATAGCATAATCTATTGAATCACAAAAACTGAAATCAAATATGTTAATTAGAGAAAAACCCAAACACATGGAATAAAAAGGAATTAGATTGACCGCATGAATGTAAAAGGGACAGGAGTGAGTAATTTTTTAAAACCAGATAGTTAACTGCTTTATTTGGATTGTGTAAGAATAAACTTCAAAGGGAGTATCCCTATTGTATTTCTCATCTTTCCATCACGTCAACTACTTCGTCTCTACTTTTTTTGTCCTCTCATTAACTATGAATTAATTTTTAGTCTATTTTACCTTTTCCCTCCATTTTACCTATTTTTCTTTTTAATCGTGCCTCAACCTACAACAACAACATCCAAGCCTTATTCCCAAAGATTTTGGGGTTGGCTAAAATGAAATGATCCATAACATCAGAGCCAAAAAGAAAGGAAAGATAAGGTAAGATAAAAAGGATAGATAAAGCTACAGATAAATATAAGATAAATTAACATAAGAAAGATATCAGATAAAAATAACATAAGAACATAATAAAAATAACATAATCGTGCCTCAACCTACGATGAAGTTTATTATATATAGGGACGGAGGTATGTGAAACTTATGAAGCATACCACGTTCAAAATCTTCACTTTTTAAAAGACTTCATGAACTTTAAAAAAGGTTTCATTGCTGAAACAGCTTCGATGGTCCTTAGGGTAGAGGTAAGTTTTATGTATGGCTCACAGTCCAAGACCTTACTTCCGAGTAGGACATGTTGGATGTTTTTGGTTTGGTTTATCACGTTCCTTGATTTGCATGTTGGGTTAACTTTCACTTGCTGTAAAAATGCAGGCATCTATACCAAGCCTTTACATACCAGAACCTGAAGATGCTGTTTCGCATGGAGATGCTAGTCTTGCTGTCAGTGATTTCTTGACCCGCAATCTTGGGGTATGACTGAATTAATTCTTCTTTTCAAGTTTCAATTATGAAGTGCCCTCGAGTGGTGTTGAATATTTGCTCGAGGAAATGCACTCTGTTTTTTTAATGCTCAAGAAGATGACACTTTCAGGCACATATATAGTTCAATAGTAATCGATGACTCGATGTAAGCTAACACAAAAGTAAATTGTACTCCGTATTCTTTTAGTGATGGACGTGGTGGATATAGTTGTATACTTGTATGCTTGTTTTAAAGTAGACAGTTTTGGTTTTCGTTTTCTATGTCACGTTGTCACAGAGTACAGTGGAGTTGTTATCAAGGAAAGTTGTGCATTTTGACAAGCTACATGAACTTTTCAGTTTTCATTTATACATTTTGTGTTGACGTGTACATCTTACTCCGTATAATCTACTTTTGCCAAGACCTTTGATATTGAGTCATTGAGATAATTCTATAACCCGAAACCTGAAAATTTCACCACGCAGACCCGCCCATTAGTCATTCTGACGAATACAACTATACTTTTGACTTTTTAGAATGAAAATAGAAGTAAAAAACCCGTATTCAAGATCAGGTCAAATCGTACAAGACAGTTTAGTCTTTTTTAATCTTCTTACCATTTTCTTGTGTTATTTTATCCTTTTAGTTTTGCTTTCACTTGGTTGATCTTAAACTCTTTTGGTACTAACTACTAAGGGTTCAATGTTGTTGTCGACTGGTTTATTATTAGATTTTACTGAGGTTTTTCCTTGACTATTATAATTTATAAGTGCTATATTGAAATTAATATCTTGATAAAAAAAGTCTTATGAGATAATTAACAAGATTTAAGTATTGTGCTGTCCATTGCCTCTTGAACATATCATTGTGACCATCGGCCATAAGTACCTGGAATCGTTTTCGGTTGAACTTAGGGTTATGCTGATTAACAACGGTATGGGAGTATGGGACAATCCAAACTAACAAAAAATAATTTAATAAAAAAAATCATTCCTAAGTAAAATATAATAGCAATAGTGCTGGACTCGGGCCGGGCGGCCCGGCCCGGAACCGGCCCGGCCCGGTTACTGTTTGGCCCGGCCCGGCCCGGTGGGTCCACCGGTTCGGTTCGGCGGCCCGGCTGCTGGGCGGTTCGGGCCCGGGCCCAGGTTTTGGTGAACCGGCCCGGCCGGTTCGGGCCCGGTCCGGGCCGGATTTTAATTTTTTTTTTTTTGAAATTTTTTTAAGTTTTAGGTTGGATTAGGTATTTTGGGCCATTTGAGGTGGTTTGGGATGGTTTGGGGTTGAGGGGGAGGGGTAGGGGATTAAATAGGAGAACAAAAAAAAAAAATTTAAGTGGGCCGGTTCGGCCCGGCCCGGTTTGGCCCGGAACCGGGACCGGCCACCGGCGGTTCGGGCTCGGGCCTCCCTTTCCTGGCCCGAGGCCCGGCCGGGCCCAGGCCCGAACCGGGCCCGAACCGGCCCGAGTCCAAGTGTTCAAATTATAATTTTTTAAAGTCAATTAAATATTAATAACAAGTTATAGGCGAAGTATTAAAACAATTAAGCACTTCGAAATTTAATTAAGTTTAGCAAAAAGTACCCTAATCCAGAAAATCAATTTAACATTTAAAAGATGGAAAACAATGAAATAATGTGAGTGATGAATCTTGACTAGTATATTTTTCAATCTAGAATTTAGGCATGAAAACTAAAAACGTACATTTTCACTACAAAATAATCATTCAAATGGAACGACGGGGTGGAAAGGGAAAACCTTTCGATGCATCAGTCTAGTCTCAGTAAACCAAACCAGGCAATAGTACAATATCGGAACGTTTTTGGATATCCTGATTCCTGAGATAGTGGGATTGATATTTTTGCTCACCCCTAGCTTAATCTTTCAAAAACATTCCTGGTGGGTGATGATGGCGGCAAAGGCTTCTAAAAATTTTCATATCAACAGTGACAGTGGCAATCGGAGTAGAGGTTGGATGAAGATGAAAATTGAATTATTTACGCCTTTGAAATTAGTAATAAGAAAGAATGGAGTAAATTTGTGATAATTAAAAAACCCTACTCACGTTTTATATTTCCAAAGTACGTTTCATCTTTCGAAAGTCTAGATGTCATTTTTAAACAAATTTCAATTATTTACTTAAAATTGATCACAAATGAAAATATATGAAAATATTAGGTTCAATCTCTAAATATAAATTATCTGATTTTTTACTTGCAATTGAAATAAATATAATGAAAAGAATTTAATTTGAAATTAAATCTTTTATTTCAAAAGCCCGTGTTCACTTTTAAAACGGTCAATGAGACAACTCTACTTCTCAGCTCTTCACTTTTGACAAGGAAAATAAATCAATGACATCAAGCAATCACATGCTCACTTTGAATTGTAAAGCGTCATCAAGTTCTTGTCAAGACATGCAAGACCCTATCATTAAGAGTCTATAAAAAATCGTAGCGGCGCAATCATTTTCAGGAACTATTCCCGATGCGATCGATGGATGAACCTAGCATTGCACAAGAGATAGCCCGAAAGCTTTTGTCACTCGTACGTGAAGTTACTTCTCCAAAGGGGGTAGACAACAGTGGAAGTTCGACATTTGATTTAGATTCTATTCTTGCCACCAACCCTTCCACGACGAACCACTTCACAATGGTCCGATGTCTACACCATGATTCCCACTATGACGACAAACACCACGTCTATGGATGAATAAATCGCCCATCTAGTTAAGCTCATTGAGAGGATGACTACGTTAATGCAAGTTCAAGATCGGGAGTTCAGAGTTTTTTTGCAGCGTCTTTCGTCTAGAAGTTCGCTCCTCTATTTTTCTCAACTGAGACCCCCCATTTATAGGTGTGGATGAAAAAAAGATATGCTTTAGGGTTTCAAAAATTCGTCCATACCTCCCGAACTCCAATTGGAATGGGTTTTGGGCTCCATTTGCTTGCAATTTAATAGGTAGAAAAATTAGCACTCGTGCAATGCATCTGGAGAGGTTTCTTAACAAGGTTGATAACTATTTCTCATTCTTATGGAAAAATTTCTTAACTAGATTCGTCGACGTCTTCATAGATCGGACCAAAAATTAAATTTTTAAGTACCAAGACAAATAATATTAAAATTTTGATCCTCAATTAATTCAAATACTAGAACAGTGGAACACATTAAAAATCAACAAAAACTCAAAAAATTTACCTAATCCTTGTCCAAATACACCGTATCTTTTAAAATTGGTCTATTACCATACTCTCATCCCTACATATACCCATGCAAAATAGGGGTGAAATAGGGGTGAAATAGAGTTATAAGTTATGAGGCAACTAAGCCCATTATATTCTATTTAAGCCATTTTTTGAAGCACGAGTTCGGTTCGAGTTCAGGGGTTGGTTAAATTCCGAACAAAAACAACTAACTACTCAAATCCAAACAACATCAATTATCTTAATATTGCGTTTATGATACATTTCTTTTTGATGCACTTATTACGTGATATCATATTCAAATCAAGCCATGCATGGCAAGTCCATATTCTGGAAGCACATCACGAGAGCATCCCATACGTTTCGCGTATATGACATTATTGCCTATTTTACTTTGTAATTATTTATTAGTATTATTCTTTCCTTCCATAGTATTGGCATGCATGTATAAATGCCAATACGGGTCATTGTAATTGAGATATATGCACAATTCGTAAAAGTCATTCACAAAGCTCTCTTCCGCTTTTATATTTTCTTAGTTTTATCATGGTATCAGAGCCAAATCCTGATATTTTTCACATTAATTGTTGATATTCCGACACCATGGCAGTCGGCGATGAAGCCGGCGACGGTGCGCCGACCACAGACTGCATGTCCCCATATTATATCCAATCCGGTGACAAGGCTGGAGATGTATTCGTGACCTCACTTCTACGAGACGGTAATTATGGCGATTGGCTCGATGAGATGAGCCACGCCTTGTACGCCGAAAATAAAATTGGATTTGCAAATGAAGTGCAGCACCAGAGTATTGCCAATTTACTACGGGCGGGAATTGACAATTCCGCCTTCCAGGCACAGACGAGGCCTCGTTCTGATGCATATCAAAAATCAAGTGGAAAAGATGGCCGGTATTGTACCCACTGTGGTAAATCAAATCACACCGTTGAAGCTTGTTTTGAAATAATCGGCTACCCGACTCACTGGAACATGCGAAATAGAGACGGCAAATCCCGAGGAGTTCGCTCCAGAGATGAACACCCAACATTTCCTACTGAACGCATCAGCTCCCAGAAAAGGGGTGGGCCGCCACGTGCAGGTTATGTTGATAGGCCTGACAGCCGCAATATTGGACTTTCAGAGGAGCAGTTCCACCGCTTGACCCAGTTCATGCGTGATGAAATTAAAATGCAAGGATCCACTCTTAGAGATCCTCCTACTACGCAAGTCAATATGGCTGGTACGTTAAATTGCCAACCGACGTGGATCATAGATTCTGGAGCGACGGAACATATTACGTGTGATGAAACTCTATTAACCAATATCATGGCTAATCCTTCGGAGCCTCCGGTTCGGATACCCAATGGTGATATATTGCCCGTACACTCGGTTGGCAGTGCTATTTTATCCAACGGGATGACACTATCACGCGTCTTATATATTCCTGCTTTTCGGTGCAATTTATTATCTGTCAGTCGTCTCACTAATGAACATAATTGTAGTTTTATCTTTTTCGGGAATTTTTGTGTAATGCAGGACTTACCCTCGAGGAAGCCGATTGGAGTGGGTAGATTTCATAATGGACTGTATTATTTGGAGCCTTTTGCTAGTGAGCCGGTGGCAATGTCTGTCTCTACAAAGGCTGAGGTTTGGCATCAACGCCTTGGTCATGCTTCAGATGACAAGTTGCGTCACATCCATTTTCTGAATGGCTTCAAACGGAATATTTCTTTTTGTGATTCTTGTATACGAGCTAAGCAGACTCGTCTCCCTTTTCCTCGTAGCACTATTAAAACTGAACAATGTTTTGATTTAATTCATTGTGATATTTGGGGAGGGTACAAATGTAATTCCCTCACTGGCGCTCGTTACTTTCTTTCCATTGTTGATGATTTTACTCGTGGAGTCTGGGTTTATCTCATGCATAATAAATCTGATGTTGGTCAATTCTTGATGCATTTTTATAACCTGGCGCGCGCACAATTTGGTCAATGCATCAAACGCATTCGCACCGATAATGGAGTTGAGTTCCAGACAAATGCCTTGCTTGATTTTTATAGCAACCATGGGGTGATTTTAGAAACATCCTGCACAGACACACCGCAGCAGAACGGCGTTGTTGAGCGCAAACATCGTCACATCCTTGAGGTTGCTAGAGCTTTGCGG